AGCACACATGTCCCTTGAGAGAGTGCACCCCATTTCTGACTCTATAACCTAGCACTGGAGCTCAAGTAGAAATGGGTCTCAGAGTACAGTGCCCATCTTGATCCTTAGCATCTTTGCCGGCTCTGGGTGACATACTACCCTGTCACCTTCCATGAGAACCAGGGTCCAAAGCTCCAACTTGTTGACCACATTGGGGGCGCTGGGCCCCGTCCAGGTCCCATCCTCCCAAAGAGGATGGACAGTCAGCAGCAAGAGGACCTCAGTGCAGCTGTGCTCCTCAGACCAGGTGCCAGCACATGGGAAAGCCTCTCCCACCTGAGAACATGACATAGGCTCACACCTCCCCTTCAGTTCTTGTTGATGTGACTTAAATACATGAGAAGATTTGTAAGGATGAGGGATGGCCTGGAAGGCTTGATCAGTTGGATGCAGCAGCAAACACTTTTCTAGGAATGGGCAGGCTCCCCTGGACCAGGGGCAAGGGTGGAGTATGAAGAGAGCATCTTTCTTCTGGTGCTGAGCCAGCATCTCCACCACGGGCCACTCTGGGTTCACAGTGTTATGTGTGGCTCCTGCCTCCCTCTGAGATCAGCGAAGGTCAAGGTACGTTCTTAACATCCTGCCTGAGATTAGCGTGGGAGGTGGAGACCGGTGTTGGCCTTGCACGGAGTGTGGCAGTCTGATTTCTTTCCTTTGGCTACGCCGTATCCATCTTCAGCTTCACATCTTCCTGGGCCAGTATGTGGCCACTCCAGGACCTAATTATGTCAGGTCCCTTTGGGCCTTGACATGTTTTCTCCTCTCTAGTTCATCATCCTCCCTGGGAGAGGACAGAATGGAGTCTAATGAACCAAAAGAGCATCACCAGTTGTCTCATTCATTGGTTCCTTTCATTTCAGTGGTCTCGCTGTGCCCTATCAGCTGTCTTCTAACCAGCATCTTCTCCTTCCTGTGGCTGTCACTTCCATACAGCAATCTCATTTTGTCCTTAGATCACCAGTCACCTCTCAGCCTTTTGTATAAACTTTTCAGACATAGTTCCCACAGAGAGATGGCCCCACCAGGACCAGCGGCCAAAGGAACAGGTCCCATTAAATAGCTCATCCTAATAAATGGCAGCATTCCTAGTAAGCGTCTTCTTCTTTTCACCAGTGATACTTACAACTTGGCATTTTATTTCATAATTTCATAAGAGGATAACCTTTGGACCCAGGCCCTCGTGACCATGCAGGCTGAGCAGGAGGCTGTCCCCGCCTCTCCCTGGGCTGTCATCTTACACGGGTGAAAGGTCACTTCAGGGTTGTGAGTCGTGCTCCTTTCCGTCCTCGTCAGTTACCTCCCTCAGTGAGGCCCCAGAGGAAGTGCCTGTGAGAGCAGCCCCCGGGCGTTCCAGGAATAAGGAGCCGGAAATAAGCGGTATGATTGAAATATACAGTGACACTACCGCTGAGTGCCACTCATGGAAAGGCAGGCTCATAAAAATGTACTGCTGTGTCCTCATCCACCTTATTCACCGGATCTGGCACCAGGCAACTCTCCTGGCTCTTCACCAGAGTCAAAATGGCCAGCAAAGGTCAACATTTTGGATTCATTCAGGACATTGAAGCAACCACGAGATACAACTGAAAATACTGAGAGGACTTTAGAACTGCTCCAGATGGTGGCAGAATGATGGGATAAGTGTCTTTGAGCCAAGAGGGAGAATTTAGAGGAGGATTAATGACAATGTGTCTTTTATGGTAATAAATTTTTTAAAATTTAAACATTCACCATATTTGTTGATCACATCCATGGGTGAAAGCATCTCAGCTTCCTGTGTCCTGGTTCCAGACTCTAAGTGGCAGGGAAAGTGCTCGGGGTTATGGAGGGGATCATTAAGAGGGAGTGGGAATCTGCAGGAGGCACCTGAACATCAGCTCTGCCTCTTAGCGCATTCCTGTCCCCTGGAAGTGTGCCCTGCAGGCATGGGGGCTCTTTCCGAGCAGGTGCAAGGGGCGCAGCGACCAGGGACCCCAGGCAGCAGGACCCAGGCCAGCGCTGGGGCACAGGGCAGGAGGCCATGGCTTCCACCAGGCCTGTCCACTGGCTGCTGAAGGAGGCCTTGGGCTGCTGCTTGCAGAGCAAATAAGCCTTGGATGCCTTGAAAGCCCGGAGGATGCACAGGAGCTTCCCTGCACTGACAGGCCAAATGGACGAATGGCTTTTCTTACCATCAGTTTTTCTTAAGTTACAGTGAAATTGCCATCAATTTCTCATTTCCTTTCCTTGCAGCCTGCACTGGCCAGCCTCTTGCTCCGCTCTAGAGTTTTTTTTCTCACTGAAGATGCCTGGCCTTTCTGTGGGCCCTGTGTGGTAGCAGCAGGGGCACATCCTGCGACTCTGATCAGAGGGGAGTCAGGTGCACAGGAAGGAGTGTGACATGGAGGGGGTTCAAGTCAAGGCGATGGAGGTTCTAGTCCCGCTCCAATGCTGACTCGTCCTGTGATCTTGAGCTAATGTTTCTAACCTCTCCAAGCCTCTATTTCTTCATCGAAAAATGGGAGCAACTCTACCTAACATATTGGGCAGTTCTAAAGAATAAACTATTGCCTGGGCAATGCTGGACCTTTATTAATGACTGGAGAGAACGGTGCTTCTATGTGGCCAGGGTTGATGTTACTGAAAGTGGTCCTTGGGGCCACCATGCGTCCTTGAAGCCAAATCCCCTGGTCCTGCAGAACCTGGATGACACCGATTCTCTGCTGCAGATGGTACGCTGTCCTGTCTGTCTGGTGAGGACTTTGCTTTACCGTGCCATGCATAAGAGCTGCCCTGGATCGTGATGCTTGGGGCCCAGGAGATAGACCAAAAGCCTAAAATAGCTGGAAAAAACATGTGTGCCATGGGGTGTCCCCAGGCCCAGGTGGCCAGCCCTTGACAGCCCATCACGACTTCTTGGTGGCTGCAATTTCCACTCCTGTGCCATGTTATCTTTTTAAGGTCAGTATCAGGGTCTTTCCGCCCATTTCTGCTCGCATCCCTCACTAGGGCAGGATTCCAGAAGGCTAGCAGAGTCACCGCAAAGGCTTCCAGACATCCAGACTCCCGGGTTATCAGCCTTCCTGACTTCTGGGTTGTTACTCTTGTTATTGTTGGTTTTTAGGTCCAGGAAGGAAACAGTCATTTTACTCCTCGAGTGTGGGGGTGGCTCAGCACAAGGTGCAGGATCACATTTGCCTGGCAGACCCACCTTCCAGTACCTCTTTCCCACCAGGGCCAGAGCAGCCTGGCATCACCTCGATTTCCTCTGCCTGGCCAGTTGGGTTCTTATCGCTGTAGCTTTTTTCTTTTCTAGAAGAGTCATGAAGAATGTTAAGTAAGGTTTTGTTTCTGCATCACAAAGGAAAATGGGACAAGTAACAAATGAGTCAGCTTTTCTTGAATCCTAAGCTGTGATTTCCTCCTAAACTAATTTAGAGAATAGCTATTGAGTTCCACAGACATCCGTGAATGTTTTCTGTAAGCCAATCCCTGAATGACGAGTGAAGGCCAAGATGCCAGGCATGTGGGCTTGTCCTCAGAGGGCTTCCGCAGGGGCCTGCCCTCAGAGTCTTCTGTTCACTGGGCAGGCAAGAAAGGACGGCAGAGAGCAAAGGGGAGAGCTGGCCTCCCGGAGTGGGTGTGGGCATTCCTTTCTTCTCCATCCCTGCCTATCCTCAGGGCTTGGCCCAAATCCTCCTCCCCCAGGAAGTGTTCTTTGACTGCTTCAGGCCTTAGTGAGGTCCCTGCTGTCCGGACTCCAGATTCCTACAGCTTGGGAGATGTTTCCTACACACAGTCTCATCCTGGCAGCATCCCGGCCTCACCAGGCACACCGTAGCCTCCCTATTTTCATAAACGAGGCATCCAAGGTTCAGAAAAGTAAAATAAGTTTCCCAGTCACAGAAGTAATCAGCAGCCAAACTGGAACTTGATCTCAGGTGTGTGTTCCCGGGCCAAACGTCCTCCTCGGTACCCAGTAGTGTGCCCAGGTGTCCCCTCTCTGGGACCCGCATGGCACTCTTCTTGTTTATGCACCAGCACTCATGTCTCCCTCTGTTTGTAGTCACTGCCTGTCCCTCACGGAGGCAAGGGCCCAGCCTGTTTGATGTCTGGCCCCTCCTGGCATTGACACCGCAGGAGCTTGCTTGGTCAGGCAAGCTGCATGAAGGACAAGGGGATGAATTTAGCTTGTGCCGCTCCCCCTGTGCCTGGCCAAACTCTGCCGCCCCCCCCCCCAAGCCATCTGGAGCAAACAGCTCTCATGTGCTAGGTAGCAGAAGACTGGTAACTAGGGTTCCTTTTGTCTTATGAACAGTGCATTAGAAACATGTTGGTGTTCAATGCCTTCACGCTGATTTCCTCCAGGTCTACATCTTGACACCTAGCTGGATTTGCAGAACATCCTATGAGGGCCTAAGAAGATGATGTCTTTCATCTTTCTCTTCTGTGGGGGGTTTACCCCATTCCCCCAAGAGAAACCACCTGGGTGTTTTGAGTCTTACATAGGTTGTCCACATGTGTATGATCCAAAGCAGATTTTCAGGAGTGAAATGGTGCACTGTTAATGCTCACACTTAGACAGCAGGCCTACACTGGAGCTCAAGCCACCCAGTTCTAAATAAAATGGATATCTGTAGTTGGAAGGAAAGCAAGTAATTATAAAGAAGTCTAGGGCAGAGGGGATGCTGGTTGGTGAAGGGCCAGGGCCTTTGTTTCTAGCAGTAACTTTGTATCATTCAGCAACAATAAGCCCTTCTCTGTATTCTCTACTTATCTTCTGTCAGTGGTTGAGCCTTCCATCATGTGTACCTGTGTCTTGCTGTCTTTTTTATTTGTTTGCTTGTTTGAAACAAGGTCTCACTGTGTTGCCCAGGCTGTCCTTGAATTCACAATCCTCGTGTCTCGGTCTCCCAAGCAGCTGGCATTATAGGCATGTGCCACCACACTTGGGCTTATTGTCTTTTCTTTCCACTCTCCAGAGATCCTGCGGATCATTCAGCTGGACCTGGACCTAAAGTATAAGACCAACATCCGGGAGTTGTTTGAGGAGTTTGACAATTTCCTGCCAAGTGCCATCATTGGCATAGCCAGAGAGATGCAGCCTGTGTACAGGTAAGTGGTGGCTATGGGTGCAGCCCCTAGGACCTCTCCTACCCCACACTCCCCTCTGCCACCCATAGCAGATTGGGGTGGACCAGAGTGTGGTTTTCCTGAGCTTTGTACCTCGGGAACATGTCTGTACTTGCTGCTCACAGTTGATAGCGTGCTCCCATGCCAGAGATGCTACCTCATTAGTTTGGAGGAGTTTGTGACATTTTCCTTCTAGAAAACCTAGTTGTTTGGGTTGTTGGTTCTGGTTAAGCTCAGAATTTTAAAACCTGGGGCTTTGTCTGACAGGTGGCATTGGGATTTATCCTCCATTCTAGCGACCAGCTGGGCTTTCTTAGCCCTGAAATCACCACGCCCCCTATTGTGCATAAGCAGAAGTTGATGAGAGGGACTGAGGGGGAAAGACACCACCTTGGCATGAGTGGTCCAGGTGAAGTGGCCCTGTGTGCATGAGGCAGCATTGCATTGTTAATGCTGGTGACAGAAATGCCAGCACCCAGGAGCCAAGAGACGTGTTCAGGAATATTTTCTACAGCGTTATTTGTTGTAGCCCCAAACTGAAAACAACTCATATGTTCTACAGTAGAATGCATGTATCCAGTCAAGAACTCTACAGTAAAAATGAGCAAATAGTTACTACACATGATGACAGGTAACACTAATTGGTGATCTTTAGTGATGCATCCACAAGTGCTGAACTGACAGGGAAAACCAAGGAGGTGACCCTAAAGCCAGCCGAGGGCCTGGGGGCCATGAGCGGGACTGTGCTTTATTTTTCCACTGAGGTGGTAATGTACACATTGCACATGATGTTTTGGGCTGTAATATGTCTTACTCTTATTTTTAAAAAGAGGTGGGGTAAGAACAGTAGAAGCAGGTTACTGTTAACAAGCCCCTAGCCCTGATCTCTGTGTTGCTGACTCCTCTTCCAGCTGGTGGAATGACAGCAGCCCAGTGCCAGAGCGGCCCAAGGGTGCTGAAAGGAGCCGGGATTCCACTGTCCCAGGACTTGCAGATCCTTTGTTCTCTGTGCAGCCCCCAACATGGGCTCCTTGAACCAAGGCCCACATCACTGGGACGCAGGGAGCCAGTGACTCAGATACAAGCTTCCTCTCAGAGGGAGTAGACAGACAGCCTCAGCGTGGTGATGGCTGTTTGAAAGTCCCAGGTCACGCAACAGGAAATTGCTGCAAGATCTCCAAATGTGCCGATAACTCCAGTCTTGAGGGCTGTTCTCCCTGACATAATCCTCTCCCGAGGTGCCCCAGAGTCACAGGTGGGTCGGAAGGAGGGGCCTGGGCCAACCCTGCCATCTCGACTATGGCTGATTCCCATCTCAGTCTCTGACTTTCCTAGGTGTATCTCATACAGGGATCTTTGACCAGCAAAGGTAGGGGATAGAAGAACAATTAAATATGAAGTTCTAGGTGCTAGAGTCCTAGCTCTGCCACCCACCACAAAGGAGAGCAGCTCTGCTGTAACACCTCCGCCCCCAGCTCTGGCATTGGTGACCACAGCTCCTCGCCCCTCCGGTCCTCCCCACACTGCAAGCTGCGTGTCTGCACGTAGCTCTAGGGCTCTGGAAGACCCACGGCCCTGGATGGTTCCATGGGGCTCATTAGTAAGCACAGCAGAGCGGGATGCCTGTGAGCTCTGGCTCAGAATCTTCTCGCATCATCTAAGTGAAAACCTGGAAACCACATCACTTCATTTAGACAGTATTGGCCAGATTTTATATTTTCTGCAGGTCTAGGTTTTATAAACAGTGCAACTTAAATCAGACAAATTGTCTAGCCTTCCCAAAAGAAAATACAAAAGATTGTAAATTAAAAAATGAAATGAGTTTTTCTCACCTTCAGAATTTGTAATTACTGCTGTGTACAGTGCAAACCACAGGACCTCTGCTGCTGGTGGGGGCTGAGAAGGCCGATGATGGGGCCTGGACACTCAGGACCAACAGACACTGCGACTCCTGGACCTGCTCCCGGCCTTTGCCCTCACTGAATGATCCCCAAAGACCTCTACTGACTCAGGATGCAAGTGATTGCTCTGCATTCTGCTGGCTTGGGGGAATTAGCTTCTGAAGTTTGCAGTTTCAGGATTTGCTGAGGCTGAGGGTGTTTGGTGCCGGCTGAGGCAGACAAGGAGCGGAGCATGGTTTCACCGGAAGATCGCTGTTAGTTGTCTGCTGCTTGAGGGGACAGAGGTGGGGGTGAGAGAAGACAGAGGGTGGGAGCGGAAGGGGAGAGCTTGAACAGGGCCCCACGAGGACTGGTAGAGCTGGGCCCTGCCTCCTGTCGCAGTCTACGGGGATCCACATCCAGCCAGCTCGGACAACCAGGGGCTCTCCCCGAGTGGCAGTGTGCTGAGGATAAGTTAGGTATTCTAAGTACAATCTGCTAGCAAGAAGGGACAACGGAAAACAACAGCAGGCAGCACTGAAGCACAACATGGCTAGTTAGGCAAGCACGTGTTGGTCTGGAAATTCACTAAGCCGGAATAGATTTGGAATTGCCCCCACTGTGTCATTTTTTATAGTCGCTTGTCCCACGGTCACTGTACTTCAAACAGGCACATGTCAAGTCATTTTTATGGCTCTTTCCTGTCTATTGTGTGCTGTGAATGCTCGAGGATTGAAGGGGGATGGGAGAGAGCTATTTCCCACTGTCCACTTGACTAATGGCTTTTTTTAAGGTTTTTTTCCCCCAGTGGTACATTAAACCAAGTTTGTTTTCTGGACAAGATGCAAGGATCATGTCATGTTGGGACATTCATGGAGGATGCTTTCTCTCTTGGGTCGCTGTTAAGATTATGTAGGGTCCAACATCCTGTGACCTTCATCATCTGAGAGTGGTGTGCCGGTCCTCTTGGGGCACTTGTGGTTGCCACTTACGCCAGGGGGTGGTCCTGTGTGTCTCCAGGCACACCAGGCCCAAGTGTGTGTCCCTGTTGCTGCAAGACTGAGGCCCCAGCAGCAGCCAGGTCATCTGGGAAGCCGAGAAGCCTGGCATGGCTGGGCTGCAGGTCACCAGGCTCCTGCTGACCCTGGAGAGAGATAGAGAGCGAGGAGCCAGAATGAAGCCTGAGTCAGGGTCTCTCTGGCCTGAACAGCCTCTGAGTGGTGGCTTAGTTGGTGGGGGTAGTGGCTTCTGATCCCATCCTCCCCACTCTGAAGGCTCTGTGTGTGCTGGAGGGAGCCCAGGCCCACCAGGCCAAGCCAGCAGTGGGCAGGTCCTGTCACCCATGCACACAGGCCGCCAGGCAGGCATCTGCTTTTGCATTAGGCATTACAGTAGCATCCACTCTTCTGCCTTCCGAGGCCCTGTAGTTTATTATCCACAGCACTGTGCCAGCCTCGCCTCCTTCCTGATGCTTGGAACAAAAATGTCCACCCGGCTTTTCTGCAGCTGCTTATCCCATCCTAGGACTGGTGCAGCGAGCTCAGGGTGTGTCAGAAGCAAGGGATGGTGTGACCAGCACCCACCACTGCCACTCTATGGCTGTGTGATCTTGGACACATATCTTGCCCTCTCTGAGCATTAGAGAAGTGGAGATTATATTGCACTGTATATTGCTGAGTAGAGGCGGGTTAATTAGATGGTAACTTATAGTGCCTGGCACAGAGCAGTCCCCAGTAATGGTGGTAGTCACTACTCACAGTCTCTGCTTGGCCACTGATAAGTTCTGTGACTCTAGAAAGTCACCACCTCAGCCTCAGCTTTATGTAAAATATAGGGTTCTGCTAGCATAATTCTTGCTCATCTGATTTCCCTTCCTAAGTGGGAGGAAGTCCCTGCCTCCACCATCCCCTAAAGAAATTCCCTTTGTGAATTTAGTATCTATGCTCATCAGTTCTTATATTTTCACTACATGCCTTAAATATTATACGGCATTTGCAAAACAGAAACTGGTATTACAAGAAGAAAAGAACTAGTCCACAATAACAAGAAAATCTTGATATCCTGAGGGAAAAGTGGAAAGCAGAGACTGGAAGAGGTGAGGTGTTCAGATAGAAGTCGCAGTTGGAGCCGCACAGGAGGCAGAGGAGGACCCATGCCTGGCTTCCTCGGTCCCCGAGCTGGGTGTTTTGGTCACATGTGGAGAATACACATCTGGCCGCTCTGCTTCCTTCAGGGTCCAGTCTGTGGCTCTGGCCCTGATCACCACTCTGGCCCATGGAGGAGTTTGTCTCAGTTTTTGAGCCCTGGGTCCTTTCCCTCATTTAGATCAAAAAATATATGCAAGTAATTATTTAAAAGTAATAGATTTTCATTAAATCTTCAAATAACATATGGAGAGTATTGTTTTCCAGGACTTGTCTATAGACTTACAGAGTGTGTGTATGTGTGTGTGTGTAAATGAGCTCCTGCTCTACAAGCCTGTCTGCATCTTTTTGTTGTTCATTTGTCTGTCTTGACAATACCTTGCCTAACTCAATCTTCCTTTGTTAAACATTGTTAGCCTCCCGAGGTCACATTTTTCACTTTGTTTTGTTTTGTTGGTTTGGTTTGGTTTTTTGAGACAGAGTCTCACTATGTAGTTCAGGCTGGCCTTGAATTCACCATGGAGCCCAGGGTAGCCTAGAACTCTTGACAATCCTCCTGCCTTGGCCTCCTAAGTGGTGAGATTACAAGTTGTGCATCACCATGCTCAACAATATTTTTCACCATTTTTTATTAGCATATGTGTGTAGTACATGTTTACATCTTAATTCTTTTTTCATCCCCTTTCCCTTCCCTTCCTCTCTCTTCTACCCATCTGTTTATCTCTTGCCTTTTTTTGTACATGTTTGCAATAATAATGTTTACAACACTTTTTATTATGGGAAATGTCTAATGCATACAAAAGTAGACAGAATCATAATTCTGAGCACTTCCATGATTTCCATGGAGCTCCAGTAATGACCAGTCCTTAGCTGACCTTGTTTCCTCCTGAGCCCACCTATTCTTCCTCTTCCCCATTTGTTTTAAAGCAAATCCAAAACATCCAACCATTTCATCTGT